ACAACATTAGGAAAGTACTACGTCACTAGGCAATAGGACTTTTCAGCTCCATTATAATCTTATGGGACCACTGTATACATGGCCAGTCCTTGATTGAAACATCAGAACACCTTTATGTGGCTCATGGCTGTATAGATAAAGAGACGGGCCTCGGGCCCTGTGGCCATTCAGTGGCAAAGCTAGGATGAATCCTCACTCCTGGGACATCCAGATACATGATTCTTTCTACTCCCTATTTGTTTATGAAAGTTTATTATCCATAAACTAATGGATAATAAGGCTAATTTTTAGGGAAAAAAGCTCTAACCCTCCCCTCACCACCACATCCATTATATGTGTCATTAGTGCCTGAGAGCTTTGTGCTGATTGCAATTTAGAACATTAGAGCTCCCTCAATTCAACAGATGATGGGACAGGGCTGTGCTGGGGCCGAGGGATGAATGAGACTTTGTCTTTGCCCTCTAATGGGAGGAGAAAAAGCCATATTTACCCCAGGCTGGGTTAAAGGCCTCAATTCAGTAAATACAAAGTACTCTGAAAAAAGGCAACTTCTTAGAGAAAGTTAGTGATAAACAAAAAGACCTCTCTTGGGCGGAGTAATCCTAAACTCTCAGTAATAGGGCAACACTGCAGGAGGAATTAGTAGGATGATTAGTGGGGCCCTGGGGCTGGGCTGCAGTTGGCCTGGCAGCAGAGAAAGTTCTCTGGGTCCACGAATTCAGTTAAGTTTTCCTACCCACTCCCTCTGCTTCCACCTGGGCTCAGGAGAACCACTCCAGGGGCCCACCCTTCCAATCTCCCTCCGCCTCCTCTCATCAATCACTAAATTTTGGCTATTTCATCCCTAAAATAAACTTCAGCCTGATCCCTTTCATTTCCCCCAACTCCCTTCCTGCTGCCACTGACTGGACACTCCTCCCAGGGCAGGGTTGTCAGAAAAATACAAGGCACCCAGTTAAATCTAAGCGTCAGATAAGCAACAAATACTTTTTTAGTATAAGTATTCCCCAATGTTGTGTGGGACAGTGGAACATACTTATACACAAAATTATTTGTTTGAAGTTCAAATTTAACTGGTTGTGGACCAAAAAAAAAGGGGTTCTGTGGAAAGTAACCTCACAGGGTGATCTGATCATAAATTCTTAACTGGGCATGTCATGATGGGTAGTCACGCCCCATGCATATAGCTTCTTTAGTGAAAAGTTTTAAGCCAACCTATCCATTGTTCTTGTCCATCTAGGTTAACACACCTTTGAAATGTCAGAAGTAATACCCGTTGGAGGAAGTATTAGCCCTGAAGAGAGCCCATAATCTTGTTAACTACCCAATCCTTGCCTTGCTTTCTACAACCGTCTTCATGTCCCCTCCTTCATTTCAAATGCCTAAAAGAAGCTGCAAAACTGTTATTCTCTGTAGCATTTGAGATCTTGTTCTTGGTATTTGTTGTCAATTTGGCTCAAATAAACTCATAAAAATTCCCTACAGGCTTGGATGTCTCTCATGTTGACATGGTGGTCCTGCATCTTTATTTGCTGAAGCTGACAATTCTACCCCAGGTCACTGCCAAGCCTCACCTCATCCTCCCAATCTCCCTCTAGATGGCTGTTGATAGTCTCATGTCTCCCCATTGCTCTTGGGGTAAAAGTCTCAATTCCTGGCCCCTGCCTCCTTACCGGGTCCCATTGCTTACCACTCCCACCCCAGTCCACCTGCCCAATCCTAGATCCTGGGACAACAGGTCCTAAGACCTTTGCTTCAGGTGCTGTTACTTCTACCTGGAGAAACTTCCCTGCCCCTCCAGTGGTGAGATTTATTCCTAAACACCCACCAGCACTCAAATCAGGTGTTACTGCCCCTGAAGATCCTTTCATAAAACACCCCGACCCCATATTGGGTTAGGAGTTTGGGCCTCTGGGATCCCACAGAGCTAAATGAATACTTCCTTACCCCCGCGCTTGTCAAACCGACAACACTGTAATTATCCGGTCTGTTACCATTGCCCTTAGACTGTTTCTTGAGGACAGGGGCTGTGTTCTTCAGTTTTTTCGTCTCTGGAACCGGAAGTTCCTGTCTGCTTGGCAGACAGTAGAAGGTTAGTTAATAACCTGCTCAGGGTCTTACAGATAAGGCCCTTGTTCCTTTTATTTAGGTGTGGATGAAAACAGGGCCACATACTAAACCTGACAAGCTCAGGGGAGGCCTGCATGGTGGGCCTTACAAACTCAGAGGGGGAAAGTAACCACATCGGAAGTCTGAACATAAAAATTCCTAACTGAAAGTAGATCATGGTGGGTAGTCCTGTCCTAGGCCTGTAGCTTCCTAGACAAAAGTCAATCTTTACCTTAGGTGAGCCTGTCTATTGTCTTTTTGCATCTAAGATAACATACCTTTAAAACCTAGAGTGATCTCCTTTTCCAGACCCCTCAGTGCACAACCGCCACCACAGCACAGACCATACAACGCCTCATTGTTATGTTGTTTCCCCCCGCCCCCATACTATCTACATGGGCTGTAAATTTTAACTATCCTTTGTAAAAGAAGCATCTCTCGTTTTACTTTTTATCGAATCCCAAAGATTCCCCCCGCTTTCCTTTCTCCCACCCCCTTAATCTACCACCAATGGATTTCAGGTAACCCTCCTTATGTCTCCTCCTTTTTATTCTAATGTATAAAATAAGCTGCACACCCACCATTATCTGGAGCAGGTTCGCAATCCATTGAGATTTTGCCTCCCAGCAATTGTCATCAGTTTAGCTCAAATAAACTCATAAAAATTCTCTACAAGTTTGGATGTTTCTTACATCAACACAGGAATAATGCGGGATCAAGAGAAGGAGACTCATTTATTGAATGTCTACCGTAAACTGTCGCTCTGGGCCGGTGTTTCAGATTTTTTTTAAGGATTATAATCTTGATTCCATGATCAGAAAAATGGGCTCAGGGGAAAGCTTGTGAAGTAAGGCTTGTGTGTGTGTGTCCCCATGTTCCACTTTCCCAGGAGGCAGATGTGATAGCTGGCTGGAAACCGAATCTCTTCGGAGACTGCTCTTGCAGTTCTAGAAAGGGGAAGGTAATTTCTGGAGAAGGGGCTAAGGCGTAGAGAGCATTAAGGGACATCAGGGGATCTGGCCAGATTCTGCAAGGCTTCGAAGTTCACCTGGGGCTCTATTCTGTGATCAAGGGGGAGACTGAAATTGAGCAGAGCTGTCCTTGCCCCTTGAGGTCTTACTGCTGGTCTCTCGCTTTGGGAGGGGACTTCCTAAAAGGAGGCCTTCCATCCCTAGGAACTGAACTTACATTGAAGGGTTGGGGTGGCTGAGGGAGTTGGCCCGCCACAATGGCCACCATCATGGTGGACTTAAAGTATATGCATCTAGATTAGGGGTCGGCAAACTGTGGCTTGCGAGCCACATGAGGCTCTTTGGATACGTTCTGTCTCAAAAGTTTGCCGACCCCTGGAAGAGCCAATCCTGTCCCTCACAACAATTTAAAAATTATTCTAGAGCCATAAATATATTTTTACATAATCACCATTATGCAGATAATAGCCTTTAAAATTTTATAAATGAAACTATGATAGTTTTATTTTCATTTTCAATTTTTCTTCAGAGCCACATGTACGTACCCAAAGAGCCACATGTAGCTTGCTAGCCGCAGTTTGCTGACCCCTGGCGGTTCTTCATATCAAAATTTTGCCCACCCCTGATCTATATGAATAATCATACAGTGTGGGAGGGGAGGCAATTAGAAAAACATTTCTGTTTTGATTGGTCTGAAATATACAATCTAAATGGCAACTTTGCTTTCTATCTTTACTAGTAAGCACATTGCTTTCATATATGCCTAGTATGCAAATGAGCTTCCTGTAAGTCCAAGGGCCCCTCCTTCCTACATCTTACTCTCTTAAAGAGCTGGAATGGCCATAGGAGATAATGTCAGGAAAAGTGCTTAGTGATTGGTTTGGAATCAGGAACTGCTCAGGTTGTCTTGGTTGTCTAGCTGTGTTCATTTCTAACGTTGTTTAGTCAAGACAACCCTTGTCCATTCAAAAAGGAAAAGCATTGACAGGCTGTGAAAGACATTTAGTGGCAGTGTTGACCTGTAGCTATTAGCACGAGATAAGCACCTTAAATAAAGCCAGTGGTTCATCTACCAGCAGCAGCCTTGGTGTTAATGGAAAAAACATGGACTTTGGAACTACACAAACTGGGCAGTGTTTGAAAACTTCCCAGAACCCATTTCCTCATGTGTGAGGTGGAACTGCTAGTGCCTTCTTCCATCGGTGGCTGTGACGGCTGAGGTGGTGGGTTCAAAGCCCCCAGCACAGGTTGTGAACTGATAATAGTAATCCACATCTCATTTCAGGACTTCTGACTCAAAGCTGCTTTCCAGGTTGAAGCACTTCAAGCAGGAAATGTCTTAACCCCCAGGGACAGCAATTCAAGGTTTCACCTCAATGTTTGGATATTTGAAATTTGAAACTTAAAAAGGTGTTTGGCTTAAAAGCATAGAATTGTCAAGGATGTTCATCACGGACTTGCTCGTATGTCTAATAATGAAAAAAATGGGAAACAATTTGAAAACCATCCAGTAGGAAATTGATGTATGAAATCAGCATAGCTATGGGACAGAATACTTCGAGGCGTTTAAATTGTGCTTTTGAATAATATTTAATGACAAGAAAATGTTCATGATAAAATATTAAGGAAAAGAAAAGCAATAGAACTTATCATACAATGACTCCACTTTAGAAAAACAAAATACTTAAAGGCAAATAAGCACCAAAAGCAAGCGCTTCCCGCTGGGAGTCAGGAGCGGGTGGAAAGAAGTGCTTTCCTTCCTGTACTTTTGTGTTTTCTAAGTTTCCATCAACGATCACATATGGCCTTCTAAATCCGAAAATACTAGTAATTCGTTGGGGCCTCGAGACAGACGCGCTTGGGACCTGGGCGGACCCCAGCGCCCCCTGGCGGCGCCCCGAGACCCCGCCCCATAAGGACGGCGCGTCGGGGCGGGGCGCGGAGCCTCAGCCCAGCCCAGGCCCGCGCGCGTTTCCGGACTCGCGACGCCTGGAGGCCGGGAGCTCACCTTTCGGAGCGGCCAGGCAAGCCAGGGGTCTGGGGCCGGCGGGAGTTGGGGACTGCGGGCGGGCGGGGACTAAGCTAGGGCTGAGGCGGCGCTGGGCCGGGGTCCAAAACTTTCTCGGAGTGCGCGGGGAGCCGGCCCGCTCTCCGCCCGGGAGCTGGTGCTAGAACGGGGATCCCTTGCCCACTCCGTTGGACTTTCGCTTGCCCTGTGCCGCCGGGGCGGGCGAATGTCGCCTGTTTTACCTTTGGGAGTCGAGCGGCTGGTTGTGGGCCCCGGGCGAGGGTGCCAGGGTCTGAGGGTGTCATGTGCCCCTCTTTCTGGCGCGTGTCTGTCGCAGGGCGTGTCCACAGTGCCAGTCCCAGAGCGGCCAGCTGTGCGTGGAATGAGGGCTCTCGTAGCCCTCAGCTGGTGGGAGGGGGAAGGGAGGCAGCGCGGGGCCCAGCCCCCTCCCCAGGTTGCCCCCTGCACGCCCTGGTGCCGGCCCTGGTGTAGACAGGTGAAGGGATGGTTGAGTGAGCAGGGGAACAGGGAGCCCTAGCTCGGAGGTAGGGTAGGAACAGGAGTAGCCTCCCCGCACTCCCACCGCGAAGGAAAGTAGCCACCTCTGTCACCGTGGCTCTGCCTCAGCTAGCCTGCTTCCGGCCACTGACCTCAGGCTGGGTTTTGAAAGCTGCAGGGGAAGTACCGTCTTCCTCCTGGCCTCTTTGGGTCTGGAGAATGGGGATTGGGAAAGGGGTAAACAAGTGGAGACCGGGGAAGCAGCCAGGGGACAGTGGGAGGGCAAATAAAATAGAGGAAGGTGCTGGAGGCTTAACTCCGCGATCTTGTGGGTTCTGCATCAGTGCTTATGGGAAGCGGGGGAAGCGAGTGTTGGGGAGTCTCTATCCTCTCTCGGGCGCTGTGGCCTCCAGGAGGTGGGGTTCTACCTGAGGCACCTGGACATGGGACAAGTGATGGTAGGCCTGGGAACCAGGGTCAGAGCCACATGTCATGGAAGGTCCCGCAGGTGTCCAGTTCTCTGGGGCTCTGAAATATTCATCTCACTGGTGAGCTTTGGTTTCAAAGCTGGCGCCTTTGGTCTGGCCAGTGGTGGCATGGGGAGCCAGGTGCTTCCTTGGGGCTGCTTTGTCTGGGACAAGGGGCAGCCATACTTCCTTCTCACCTGTCTGCTCTCCCAGCCTCTACAGTCATGAGGACCCAGAGACCCAGTTTGTAACTTAGAAAAAAGGTGGTGGGACCATAGAGTGTCAAGGGCCCTGACTTTCTGTCATCTTGTGCCATGATCTCAGGGCCTCACTTGTATAAATGGGCACATCAGAGAGGTAATGATGGGGTTATACCTTAAATATGGGGAGAACCTCATGTCATGAGCGAAGGTAATAGCCACCTCAGCTTAGCCTCCTCCCATGGGAATACATCCACCTCAGAGCACTTCCATCCCCCAACCTTCTTACCCTGGACCCTTCAGAAAGAGCAGGAACCCCAGAGAAGGGACATATACTTGTGTGTCTTTACAGGGCTGCCCTGGGAGGGCCAGAGAGTGGAAGCTCATACAGCTCTCTGGGAAGATGGCCTCCGCTAACAATAAAGCCCTGATGTGGGCATTCTGGTGTTTTCTTTTGGAAATGCTGCGGAGGGAATGGCCTTGACACAATCTCCCAACCCTAAGATTCTGGAATTCTAGGCCAAAACCTAGGTCTGTTTTGAAGTAGAAATGATATCTAGAAGTACTCAATGCACTGGTCAGGTAGGAAGATATAAGAATGAGTCCTTATTCTTGTGATGATTTGTACTTCCTCCTGTCACATAAAGGCGATGTCAGAAGGGTTGGGGTGAACCAGCTTCTTGGTTCAGTGCTAGCTGGAGATGTCACCCAGTCCTTGGCAGTAGGGAGATTATAATAGCTGCTGTGGGGAGGGGGGGTATACCTGAAACTAATATAATGTTATGTCTCAGTTATACTCAATTAAAAAAAAAGATTTGAGGAGTTAGGGCATGAATCATCTTTAGGGTTGGGTCTATCTTTAAAAAAAGGTGGCCTGGTTAGTATCCAACAAGATATTAATTAGGTGTGCTTTGATAAAAATGTTTCAGGCTTAAGGAAGTTTGAAGGAACACTGGGTGAAACAAAGATAAACAGGATTGCTCACTGCAGGACTTCTCAGAGGCCTAATATGCCATTGTGCCTTGTGAATTTCCGAAAGGGGTTATGGGTTATTTTTCAGACTGGTCTGTTTTCAGAGCTCATCTGTTCCCATCTCCTGGAGGCAGTGTGCTGTAGAGCAGTCTGGAAATGTCTGGCTTGACGATTCTAGCTCTCCACTCTCTGTTCTGGTAACTAACCCCTCCTCCCCTCCTCCATGTGGGCTGATTTGGGGCAAAAGGAGGCCAAGGGAGGTCATTCGCTTGGATTCCCACGACTAGTTGGTGGTCGAGTTAGAACTTGAGCCCGGCGGAGGGGAGGCGGCACCTCGTTTTTTTTTTTTTTCTAGTGCTGTCCTGGTTCTCTGCAGGCTCTGGGGTGAGTGAGGCCCTGGGAGGTGCAGGCCACAGGGTCCAGAGGGCAAGATGGGAGCAGTTTGGGAGGAGAGCGAGTTATGGGCACTCCCATACCCAGAACATGCCACATGCCTCTGCCTCTGCAGGCAGTCCTCCAGCTGTTAACATGACTTCAGTGTGGATGCCTTAGGAGGCAGGTCATTCTTCCCTGCAGCCTCCTGTTGGAGTGTGTGAGGCTGACGCTGTTAGCGTTGGCATGGGCTTGATCTTTTGGTTCAGTGGACTCACGTATGACTGAGAAAACTGAGTCCCGAGAGGTGAAGTGGCCTGACTCACACGGAGGAGTTGGGACCAGGGCCAGGATAAGAACTCGGCTCTCTGCCTCCTAACCCAGGGCCCTGGCCTAGATTGACGTTCCACAGGGAAAGGGACTGGTTATCAACAGCAGCGATCTTTTCTACCTCAGTCCGCCCTAGTGCTGGCCTCGTCACACAGGTGACTGGTGGGGGTGTCTCAGGGGCTGCTGCTCCAGGTGGGTGTAACAGCAGAGGGTGTGAACGTGAAAATCAGACATCAGATCTGGGTTTAAACCCATCTCTGCTGTTCTCCTGCTGTGGGACCTTAGATCTGTTTTGCTCTGAATTTCAGTTTTGTCATCTAGAATGGGGATAAGAATATGCATCTCCTAATCTCATAGGACCATTGTGAGGCTGCTGTGTGCCTTAGACCCTGGTATGTGGTTGTCTTCCTTCCCTGCCTGCTTTCTCTTTCCTTATCTGCACTCCCAGGCCATTCTGATGACTGACCGGACTGGGGTCTCTGAGAATACTCACACTGATGATACAGTTCCGCCCCCAGAGAAGGGTGATGTAGGAGCTGTGGGTGCCAGGGTCCTCCCTGCTCTCCAGGGTGGCTTCCCCTTCCTTGGATACTGGAGCCACCCTGTCAGTGTCTGATTGGAGAGATGCCGCCCTGGCTAGAGACTGGGGACTGGGAGGGAAGTCATGGGTTGGCAGTCTTATCTATTTCTGAGCAGGGCACAGAGCACTGGGGGAATGGGTGGTTGGTTGTGGCTCCGCCTCAGTGGTGTGTGTGCTTGCTTCTGTTTCTCTTAGTTCTCAGACAGTGGGCGGGGCTGGGAATGAAGTTCCAAACCCATGACCCAGAGGGCTTGTCGTGGGCTGGGGCAGGAACTTTCGTGGCTCTGGGGTTTCCTTGTCTGTCAAATGACCAGCTGATTTCTAAAGCCCATTCTAGCTCTGACGTTTCAATTTTTAGATCTGCTCAGTGTCATCCTATTAATCCCAGGGACCAGGTGGACAGAAGGGTAGGTTGATTCTGGGCCCCTCGGTCCGTGTATATCAGTCCTGGTGACTTGCCCAGACACTCCTGGGTGTGTCCTTTTAATCCTCTGCCCTTGTGGCTATGTGCTGGGGTAGGAGGGTGAAGTGTTTTCTTGGTGGGGAGGGGAGAGCCGGGGGAGTTGGGGAAGGTAAAGGAAGAGGGAGAGAGGTAAGGAGACTGTCATAAGAGACCTGGACACCGTGGGCCAGGGGCTGCACTCCTGCGCCTGCTGGGTGGAGTTTCCTGAGATGCACACGCTGAGCTATTCTTTCCATTCTGGCTCTGGGCATCCATTCCTGGCAGGGAGGAGGGTGTGCTGCCTGAACCAGTCAGCTGCTCCTTTCCTCCCCTCCCTCCAACACACACACCCTCTTGCTGTAACCCCAGGAACTCAAGACTTTCTGCAGATTCCAGAGACTTAACCCTTCAGGTGCCCCCAGGGGAGCCTGAGCCTGGACCTTGGCTGGCTGGGGGCGCGCTGGCCACCCTTCCAGGGGAAGGAGATGCTTCCCGGAAGCTGAAAACCTTGACAGCTCACAAGTCTTGCGTTTGAGCCCGCCCACCTCTGCTGTTGTGATGGCTGGGTCTGGAGGTCCTGCAGGAGAACGGAGAGGTTCTGGCTCCTTCCTGATGAGGGATTGAGGCCATGAGAGAGGGAAGCAAACCTAGATCTGTAATGTGGCAAGGATGGACAGAGGCTGCATGTGTTTATAGAAGGCATTGTGAAGAAGAATGTGCTAGTGATTCAAGCTTCCGCAAGTGGAGCAGCCCTGCTCCCTGTCACTGGCGTGTGTCCAGCAGAAGCTGAATGCCCACTGTGCTTTAGGAAAATTCCAGCTTCCAGTGGGGAACCTGAAAGGTCCCTTTTAGCCCCTAGAGAGTGCGAGCCACGCCAGTAGCTACCAGCCGAACCTAGATGACCTCATTCCTGGTTTCTCAGCATGAATCATCCTCTGGATCTTTCTCTTCCTCTTTCTCCTCCTCTTTCGACTACATTTTTCTCCAGCTCCCACCTTTAGTCATAGCTCTGAAAGTAAATACCGACCACTTCTCCCTTTCCCTACTACCTAGGCGGATGCCAGCCCCAAATCTCATTCCTAGCCGAGGCCTTGACGATGAAGTGGCCGTGGCTGTCATGTAGGTCAGGCAGCAGCCAGGCAGCAGGCTTAGACGCTGCCAGCGCTGGCAGCCCTGGGCCAGAGGCTCCTGCCTGTCTGGCATTGCTCAGAGGTGAGTGTGGCTGAGCTCAGCCACGCCCCCTCACTGGCCTGGACGCTCTCTCTCTCCTGTGCCCTGGCCTTTACACCAGGGATCTGGGATGTAGTCCTGGCCCCAGGCCCAGCTCTGTGACCAAGGACAGGTCACTCTGCCTCCCTGCACTGTGGCTGTCTGGTTGGTAAAGCGAGGGGTTGGCTTGCCTTAGCAGTTTCCTTTCAGCTTTTGCATTTAAGAATCTCTATTTCTGACAACCCTCTCCGAACGGTAGCACAGGGTTTGGGAACCGGGGAGGTTATGGAGAGCGCTGAAAGGTTCAGCATCCACTAGCTGTGTAAGCCTTCTCCGTTGTCATTAGAGGGTCTTAGACGGGAAGCCATGAGAAGCAATGAGACGTTGGATAGACAAGGGATCCGAATGGGGGATCTGAGCAGGGCTTTAAGAGCATGGGCTTTGGAGTCGGTCTTGGAGCTCACGTTTTGCTTGACTTCCTTCCACCCTAGCTAAGTAACCTTAAGCAAGTGACTTAATTCTTCCGAGTCACTGTTTCTTCATTTGTAAATAGGAATGACAACATTATGTACCCTGTTGGGCTATTGTGCGGATTTCATGAAAGAATAGCTAAAAATAGTCAACTCTTTATCAAGGGTCAGGCACCATTCTAAATGCTACTATGTAAATTTTCTCATTTAATTTTTACCACTCTGGAGGGCACTATTACAAAGTGAAACCCATTTTCCAGGTGGGGAAACTGAGGTATAGTGAGGTGAAGTGGTCTGTGCCAGTCTCTGGTGAGCATGGGTTGGTGGCTGAGGCCCCAGAAAACTGGACTGTTACCTTCTGTGTTCCCAGCAGGCAGTTCTACTGGTGAACCCCTCTGAAACCAGTCAGGGGGGGGTGGGGCAGTGCAGAGGGAGTCCTTGTGACTTGGTAGCCTGCTGCGCTGGACCGGAACCCTGGAGTCCCAGTGGCTCATCTAAGGCTGGCATTACTCTCCCTGATTTACCCTTCGGTCTGAGGAGAGACTTGTTTTTCTGGCTTGGCTTCGAGGAAGGAGGGAAGGAGGGGCAGCTGGCTGGCCAGACGAGAGGCAGGCCTGAGTCCCAGGATCCCAATCTGTTAGAGCTGGAAATGAGCTCAGAGGTCACCTGGTCGACTCAGCTCATTTCACGGAGGTGCACCCCACGGAGGCAGTAGGACTGGACCCTGGTGACACTGTTTGGTGACTCAGCTGGAGCTTCTGACCACAGGGCCTTTCTTGGGCCGTGTTCAGCCTGTTAACCTGTGTACCGCCCACTGGATGGTGACTGTCAGATGGGTCTCGGGTGCTGAGATGATGGTAATAATGACAGATAACCTGACTCCAGAGGTGACTTGCTCGACCCTCTTCCTGCTAACTGGCCACCGTTCTCTTGGTGGAGTGAAAAGGGGGGTCTTTGGAGAGGGTGGGTAGAGGGGTACAAGGCGCAGGAGCCTCTTGCCTCAGAGAAAGAGACCCTAGTTTTTCTTCTTCCTTTTTTAAAAAAGTCTATTAAGGAGATTCACATATTGTAATTAATTATGAATATTTCCCTACTCTTATATAAACTCGAAACGTTTTAAAAAAACTATCTGTTTCTTAAACTCACAACACTCAGTTTTTAGTTTTCTCTTGTTGTCTTTGCTCCCTATTTCCTCAGGTCACTCTACTCCACTGTGCAGGTCTTTCAACACGACCCCGCTTTTGACACCCGTTTGCTGTGTGACACCCTCCCTGTCGGACGTTTTTTTTATTTTTGACCCGACACGTTCTTGCTGTTCTGGCCCATCTGCTCTGGGAAGATGGAGAACAGCTTTCCTCAAAATAACCCATTTAGAGACCTGGCCTGTTATTCGATCCCTTCTCCCGCCTCTCCCTGCCACTTTCCTCTGTGAATTATCCCAGTTGTCATAAGAGAGAAGAGATAAGACAATCCTTTATCTGATCCCTGAACTGTGCAGTGTGTCCTAAAAAGAGAAGCGGGTTCTTCCTTCTTTCCAGCAGAGGCTCCGAGGCTGTCTGCTGACCTGGATTTGGGGGTGCTTCCTCCCTGTGAGGTCCTAAAGGTCTGCCCCTTCGGAGATGCTCTAGGGAGAGGTGGTGGCCCTGTCAAGGGGTCCAGACTCTGTCAGGGCTTGTCCCTAATAGGGGCCTTCCAGGGACCTCCTTCTTAGCTCTTCCCAAGCCCCCATCTCTGCCACCTGAGAGAGGAACACCAGGCCCAGAGGACATGTATTTGGCATAAGAGGCAGAAAGAACACAGCACGATACAGAGCACACATACCCAGGACCCTGAAGGCGTCGGGCTGGTGGTGCCATTAACCTGCTGGTTCTGTGATCCTGGGGAGTCACTTCACTGTTCTGGGCCTTGATTCCCTCATCTGAACTGAGCTTTTGAGGCCATAAAACCTGGAGGTCCCTTCCAGCTTTATCGCCCTCTTCCTTGTCCCTCCGCCCTCCCTGGCTCCGGGGCTGTCCTACTGCAGGGCAAGTGCTGACTGCCTGGACCGCGTGGCATGGACCCTCAGCACTCTCTCTTCCCTGCGAGCCACTGCCCCTGGGGGGAAGCAGGCAGGCATCACAGAGATACCAGATAACCTGGGGTTCAAAACATGTGTCTCCCTCTCCCAGGGGGCTGCTCCCTGGCAAGGCCACGAAGAGGGTAGTGGCAGCCATAGCTGTTATTTAAAGGAACCAGAAAGTCCTGTCTCAGGCCTGCCCTTCAGTGCCGCCTCCCAGCTCTGGTGGCCAGCCCCGTGTACCCACTCCCTCAGGACTCTTAGGCGTCCCCTGACTCAGCTGTCCCCTGACTCAGCTGTCCCCTGACTCAGCTGTCCCCGGTCCTCCAGCCCTCGCCCTCTGGGCCTGGTGGCTCCAGCTCCAGCCCAGCCTGCTGTCCTCCGCCCCCTCCCCCACCCTCCACTCTGGGCCTTGGCTCCTCCCAGGTGTGCCTCTCAGGCCTGCTGCTCTGGCTCGCTGCCATGGGGGCTGGACTGACCCCTCAGTGGGTCCCAGCTGGCGCTGCGACTCACCAGGAGGCTTTGCTGGGCAGTCGGGCTTCTTCCGGATGGAAGGCTTTCTTTAATGAGCACAGGGGAGTTCCCAGCCCCCCTGCTCCTCATCTTTCACCCCACTGGTGCCCCCTGACCCCTCTGGGCCCCTGCACGACATCACCCCACCTGGCCTATGGCAGGCAGCTGCACAGCGAGGAGGGCTGTGGACAGAAAGCTGGTGTGAAGGCCAGGGGCAGGGGGCGCTGTGGGGATGGGGAGGATGGCCTGTGGGCAGAGAAGGAGGTACCACGATTGAGGGAGAATATGAGGGTCCCCTAACGCGGAGGCAGCCTGGACTGGGGCTGAGGAGGCTGAGCCTGGGCACTCATCACTGAGTTTCTTATCCTCTATTTCAGGTCCCAGCAGCTGGGGTCTCCCCTCAGCCCTTGAGCGGCCATGTCCAACCCCAGCGCCCCACCTCCATATGAGGACCGCAACCCCCTGTACCCTGGCCCTCCTCCGCAGGGGGGCTATGGGCAGCCGTCTGTCCTGCCTGGCGGGTATCCTGCCTACCCTGCCTACCCACAGCCTGGCTACGGTCACCCTGCTGGCTACCCACAACCTATGCCCCCCATCCACCCGATGCCCATGAACTACGGTGAGTCCCTGAAGGGTGGCTGGTGGCGGGGTGGGAGTGGGTGCGGGTGGGTGGGTGAGGGGCTGGTGGGGGTGGGAAGAGGAACACTTGTAGCACCTGAGGCCACCTCCTTTCCCTCCTATTCGACATCCTGTTTAAGCCTTTTTTTCCATCTCTCCATTTCCCATCTCTGTTGCCTCCCTCCTTTTTCCCTCAGCACCTAGTCCCCCAGGCCACCTGCTGGCCCCTTTATTCAGAGGGAGGCTGAGTTCATAAGACACACCAGAACTTACACATCACATGAGAAAGTGGCTGAGTGACGTAATTAATTCCTTCAGAGCGGGGACCTTAAGACACCATTCCTAAACATTCCTGGCAAGTGCCGCCCACCCAGATGCTCTCTTCCTTTGGAACCTGAAGCACTTTTTTTTCCCTTTTTTTTCAAAACTCAGTGCTGACAAAGCCTCATCCTTTAAGGTAATATCTGCTCTTTTCAAACATCCAGAAGTCATTTGGATGTTTGGTAAATGCCATGGCAAGTACATGCTATGTTTGGTCAGAAATGCGATGAGATGGAAAGCAGTGAGATATTTCTCGAGTGGCTCACATGCGGACTTTGAAAGCAGCTCCCAAGGAGGCATTCTAGGAATGTTTTGAGGACCTGCAGCATCTCTGGAGTCCAGGAGCATGGCCAACACTCATCTGGCCACGCTCATCTGCTCTGGCAGAAGCTCATCGGTCACGTTTCGGGTCCTGCCTTGTCCTCTGAACCTGTACCTGACATGTCTGTTTTCTCTGAGTCCTCATGTTGGTCTTGACATCTTCTCCACCTTCCACACACGTGCTGTGTTTCTACCTTTTCCTCCTTTCCTCCCCGAGTCCTCTGCTCTGACCTCACCCCAGCTCCTCTGGCCGGTGCTCCAAGCTGTGCACCTGCCTGGCTTCCTCTCCGGACTGAGACCTCTTGCTGGCGGAGACCACGTGTTCATACCCCAGAGCCCCTAGGTGTGGGCTGGGCACCCTCACCCTCAATGAATGCATGCTGATGGAATGGCTCTAACCTGAGCCCCTTTGTGACAGGGGCAAATGGCTCCATATGGTGCCCAGGCCAGCTCTGGGTCACTCTGCAGACATCTAGAGGTCCTGGCTTGGGCAAGGAGTTCAAGTTACAACACTTGCCCTTTGGCTGAAGATACCTGAGACTCTGTTTGAGATAATGTCACAGAGGCTTTGGGATTGAGGCCACATGTTCTAGGTTCCCAGTTGGTCATATGTGATCTGTCCCCAGGCCCAGGCTATGACGGGGAGGAGAGAGCAGTGAGTGACAACTTCGGGCCTGGAGAGTGGGATGACGTGAAAGTCCGACACAGCTTCATCCGAAAGGTGAGACCTGGGCTGGGTGGCAGGTGTACCTGGGCCCCTTGGGCTATGGGAATGGGGGTATAGGGGGCACTGTTAGCCAGGGTACCCATTCCCATAGGTTACCCTGCGGTAGCAGTCCCACTGCTGCCTTCCAGGTTCTCTCGAGCTCTGTACTCTTCTGACCCCAGTTCCCTAACCTTTTGCTCCTCTTTCCATGACCTGGTTTTGGGGTAGGGGGCAGATTCAATCCCGGAAAATCTCAGCAGGCTCTGCAAAGTGTCCTGTCCTCCCCAAACTTCTTTCTCATGCTCAACTGTAAGCAACTCAAAGCCAGAAATGATCACACTTGTTTGTAGCCCACCCCTCCCTCCCCCACCTCATGTCTGCAAAGCACCCTGCTCAGAGTAGATACCTGGCAAATGTCAGCCTCAACTGCGACAAATGTGGAGGCCACACTTGGTCGTTCAGTGAGGCAGGGGAAGTAAGCAGTCAACTGAGGCTGGATGTCAGACAGGGAAGTGGGTGAGGTGTGTATAGTACCTGAGCCAGGCTCCTCGCTGGGGGCTGCCTCTCTGCCTGGCTGCAGCTGGGGATGGCTCTCGAGTGGAAACAAATGAAGAAGGACCCCCTCCTCCCCAGTAATAGACAGGGGCGGAGAGGGGTGATGGTGGTTGCCTCTTTGGGGCTTCCTGGGGAGAGGCCAGGGGTGTGGGATGGTGACCTGTCTGTGTTCCAGGTTTACACCATCATCTCCATCCAGCTGCTCATCACAGTGGCCATCATCGCTATCTTCACCTTTGTGTGAGTCTCGAGGCCTCTGCGCCCCTCTTCCCAGCTCCGGGGTCCTGGGCTCGGGGCTCTGGGGCACCTGCCAGGAGCTGGGGTGGGGGTGGGCCCTTTCCTGAGATAGACTGCAAGACGAGTTAGATCTGGGTGATTGGAGGGGACGGCTGTGACTCCTGTCTTGTCCTCCCCTGCTCCACAGGCAACCAGTCGGTGACTTTGTGAGGAGAAACCAGGCCATCTACTACGCGTCCTAGTGAGTGTCTGCGCTCGTCTCTGCTGGGTCAAGGAGGGGCGACCATTGACTGGCTTTTCTCAGGGCAGGGATCCAAAGACTTTGAGAGGGGCTCTCCAGGTTGCCACCTGTGTTGGGAAGTGTGGGTGTGTGCCACCAAGTGAGGAGTAACAGCAGCACAGAACTCCTAGGAATAGAGGTGGGGAGCTGGCGGCAACACGCGTACAGCAAAACGGTCCCCATGTTCTGTTAGCCTATCTGCTATGGTCTCCTTCACCCTTCTTCCTGGCCAAATCCTGTTACGAGGTTCTCAGAGCTCTTGGCTGAGAGGATCTTGTCCTACTAGGTAGCTTCCCCTTAGACTTCCAAACAGCTCTGTGGGCCTTGAACCTGCCAGCCTGGTGAGTGCTGCCAGGCCAGGCCAGGAGTGGCCGAGAAGCGCATTGGGCCTGTGGACTACTTCCTGTCTCTTTCTCCCCAGTGCTGTCTTCCTGGCTACCTACTTGACCCTTGCCTGCTGCGAGGGACCCAGGTGAGTCCCAGAGACAATGAGAAAGGATGACGGGGGGCAGGAATGGGGCCACGTATTTGGGAAGAAAGGGGATTCCTTAGAGCAGCTGAATGGAGACTTACAAGCAGTAATGAGGATGACAGCAGCTACTTTCAGCCAGTGTGGGATCTATTTAACTACGTTGTTATTATCCTTACAGCAACTCTGCAAGATATGTAGCATTTTAACCATTTAAAAAATAGGAAGAACCCAAGGCTCAGAGAGGCTGAGTAACTTTCTCACAGTCACACAGATAGGGTAAGAGCTGCAAACAAATCCAGGTCTTTGTGGCTCCATAGCCCAGGTCTGTCCTGTTGCCGCATAGAATACCTGAGCAGGTACCAAAGGCCAAGCCAGCCTCCCCTCCCCCAAGTCAAGGTCTAATTCTCTAGGCCAGGGGTTGGCAAACTGCGGCTTGCGAGCCACATGCAGCGCTTTGGGTACGTTTCGCCCCATCTCAAAAGTTTGCCGACTCCTGGAAGAGCCAATCCGGCCCCTCACAACAATTTAAAAATTATTCGAGAGCCATCAATATATTTTTACAAAGAAGGAAAATCTAAAGTAATATTATAAATGAAACTATGATAGTTTTATTTTCATTTTCAATTTTACTTCAGAGCACATGTACGTCCCCAAAGAGCCGCATGTGGCTTGCGGGTCGCAGTTTGCCGACCCCTGATCTAGGCACACAAGCCAAGAACTTCCTTCTGCTAAAGGAGTCTCTGATACCCAGCTGGCCCCAAGTCACTTACTCGTGGTTTCCTTCCCTCCAGACGCCGTTTCCCGTGGAACATCATCCTGCTGGCCATCTTTGTACGTCTAGAAGGGTGGAGGCGGGTGTGGAGATGGTGTGAGGGAGGCTTGGCGCAGGGCAGGGACGGGACGCCGCTGTGGGAGGTGTCTCTGGCTCTCTCCCCACTGCAGCCCGACCCTGCCTCGGTCTCCTCGGTGGCTGCCTCTTTCCTCCTGACACAGTTACCCCCGGGTGTGGCACTCCACCAGGGCCATGCGTCTTAAGTGTTTCACTCCTCTCTCTCCTTCCCTCAGACTCTTGCCATGGGCTACATGACGGGCTGCATTTCCAGGTACATTCAGGGACAAACTACCTTGATCTCGGGAAGTGTGTGTTATGGGGGAGGGGGGCATCCCTGGGCTGGCCGTCATCTGCAGGGGGGATTCTGGGCAGGGTCCTTCTGGAAGCGGTGGTTTTGAAGTCAGTCAGATGTGGCTTATGCCTGTGGCCTCTCTTAACCTCCTCCCCGCAGTTTTTATAACACCAAAGCCGTCATCATTGCGATGATCATCACTGCTGTGGTGTCCATCTCCGTCACCATCTTCTGCTTCCAGACCAAGGTGAGGGGGGTCTGGAGGACGCTTCCCTGGCCATTCCACTCCCCCTTCTTGTATAGACCTGGCCTGGGAGGGCCCAGACCCCGACACTGGGATTTCCCTTAGAGACCCTAATCCCCTTCCCTTCATAGTGACACCTACAAAACTGCTTCCTGGTTCTGCCCTTAGAATGTCCTGTCACTGCCATGTCCCCCAGGAGGCAGCTTTGGGACTCCCTGGTTAAGGGAGGCAGGGCCAGTCTGGTTGGGCTGCTAGTTGTGGCACTCCTCTGACAGGTGCCACCTTTTTCCTTCCTGTCAGGTGGACTTCACCTCATGCACAGGCCTCTTCTGTGTCCTGGGGATTGTGATGATGGTGACTGGGATTGTCAGTGCCATTGTGTTGGCCTTCAAATATGTGAGTATCCTGGGAGAGCTGTGGTCAGCGACCCCAGTGCTCAGGGAAGACTTTCTGTAAAATGAGCGGAGCAGGCCCTACATGCCTCTGGGCAGGCTCACTTCCAGAATCTCTCGACTGGCTAGCGAAGGCACCAGTGCCGAAGCCCCATCCTTGGGGTTAGTGTATAGTACCCTCTTTAGTGACAGAAGGCCCTGGGAGCGAAAGCACCTGAGGCGTTGGACAGCGTCACGGAATCCCTATGGGAAGTAGCAGGTGCAATCTGACCGCTGAGACTAGGATCTAGGAGGCAGACTGGGGGAGGAACCTGGAGCACTACGATGGGCTGGCATGGAAGGAACCTTAGGAATCACCATAGCCAACTCCTTTTATTCTAGTTAGCCGGGGGAGAGCGTGAGGCCCCTAGGCTGAGGAGCCTCATGGCAGGGAGGGGAGAACAGTGCTGGAAGTGGGAGCATGTGAACAGGACGGCTGCCTACCCCACTGACCGTGGGCTGGCCCTGTCGTTCTGTGGACAGGCACCTGGAAGCCTGTTGAGCAGGGATGCCCGGGGGTGCTCTCTGGTTCTGATGTTCACCAGGGCAGCTGGTGTTCCCTCCTAGTCCTCTTCTTCACTCTGTCCCTCCCAGGCTGGGCTGCAGAACCACTCTCCTGAAGGTTGACCATGGCTGAGGGGGGAAGGGGATGGGGCTCTTCAACCAGTACATGCCTGGGTCCGCCCCACCCAGAGCTGTAACTCAACCACCTTCTTCTTTCCAGAAGTATAGTGGACGCCTCTGTAGCTTAACGCACTTTGGAAAATTTTTTTTATGTGGCCATTGGAGGATGGCCTGTGTCTTCTCTGCCCAGTGTTACCATTCTTCAGGATCTGGAAGGCAGAGGTAGTCCTTTCATGTAGGTCGCTTCCTGGATCTACCCAGTTGGATGCCAGAATCCCAGGGGACGCTGGTCCTGAGGGCCTGCGTTGGTCCATGCTCTGCTGAGATTTCTAACACCATCCCTGTTCCCTCTCCCCAGATTTACTGGGTCCATATGGTCTATGCGGCCCTGGGGGCCATTTGCTTCACCTTGGTGAGTAAGGCCTGCTCCCTTTGGGAAGGGGAGCTGAGGGGAGGGAGGCGCTGAATGGATGGAGCATGAATTTTGGCTGCTTGCGGGGCAGGGAGTGTGGTCACAACTACCCTTCCTTCTCCCCACTGTCAAGAGGTTCTCCTGATTTTCTGGGCATTTCCGCCTTCTCTTGTTCACACCACCTGCTATAGAACACTCAGCAGACTGTGCTGTAGATAGTGTCTCTCTCCCTTTCTAGACTGTGAACTGCTTGAGGGTAGAGACCATGTGCTGTACGTTCATTAATGTGTCCCCTAAGCACACTGCATGGCACAGAGGCTCCGGGGACAGGTCTGCTGATTGCAAATGAGCTCTGGCACTGTGCCCTTGGGTCCTCACTCGGGCCTCCCCTTTCCTGCAGTTCCTGGCTTACGACACGCAGCTGGTCCTGGGGAACCGGAAGCACACCATCAGCCCGGAGGACTACATCACTGGCGCCCTGCAGATCTACACAGACATCGTCTACATCTTCACCTTTGTGCTGCAGCTGGTGGGGAGTCGCGATTAAGGAGCACCCCCAGTTCTACTCCACCCTGGGCTCTCTCATTTCCAGAGGGCTGGGCCCTATGACCTTCCCCTCAAGTAATATGCCCAGTTTCCTTTCTGTCCTGGGGTGGGTGGCCTCTCTGGCTATGGATGTGCAAGTGCCACCTGGTTAGGCTGGAGGAATTGGGGACGAACTCTTGCCCTTGGTGGGCTTGGCAGGTACTAGGCCAAAGATGTGCCTTTTACCTCCACCCACTCTGTGGCTCCAGATTCTTAACAGCTGGGGCTGGAGGGGGCAGGGATGAAAAAAGCCTGGTCTATAGCTAGAAGGGAATGAGGTAGAAGCAACTTCAAGGTGATGAGGTTTGTCCTCCCACCTCTGCCATAGACTCTGGGCTACGTAGCTGGAGCTGTTTCCTCCCTCAACCCCCAACAGAGCCGGAGAAATCTGTCCCCAGCCTCCTGGACTCATAGGCCATTATCTGTATTCCTTTGGCAAACCTTGGCGCTTCCCAGCTCAGGAAGATTGAAGAGATCTGTGCCCGTGGGTCCCCCTTGATTCAACCCCTTTTCTTTTGATGGCATGTATATACTGTTTATCTGGGTTGGGGGTGGGGGAGGAAGAAGAGAGCAAGCAAAGCCAGGTACGGGGGCCAGCACTGAGCAGCATCTTCCCTGGGCTTCCTCATGGCTGCGGTGGTGGCAGAGAGCAGGCCCGCTGAAGCCATCAGGTCCCCATTCTCCAAAGCTGCCTAGGGCCTCCCGGGTGCTTCTGAGATCTCTGGTGAGGGGGATCTCTTGCTTCCTGTGCTCAGGCTGCTCAAAGCAGAAAGTGAGGGGCAAAGGTCAGGGGATGGGGTGGTTTGGAGGATCCTAAGTGTGGCCAGAAAGTAACCAGGATGAAGAGATTGGGTTAGAAGCAGAGAAAATGCCTTGGGGTCCCCCACCTGGTCTGAGATATGGAAGCCTACTGTGGCATCCATGAAAGCTTATGTGTTCTTTCCTTCTGCTAACCTTGGGGAGGGCCCTGAGAGGAAGGAGACTTCCCCTCTCAGTTTGTTCTTAACGCTCACTGGGGAATTTTATACTCAAATCTCATTTCTCCAGCCAGCTACTGCTTTCCTTGTGACTCTTAAGTGCCTCAAGCTGGAAGGGAGAAAAGGGACAGGGGTCACTCTATCGGGTGGGGGTGAAAACCAAGTCAGCCCAAGGCTATAAGTAGGACTTCTCTACTAAGTCCTGGTCCTAAGTATATCACACAAACGGACATAACTAGAAATGTAATAAAGTTTTATGTTTAGAAGTTAAAACCCTGTTTGGCTCTGGTTTTCTTCACTCTTAAGTTGTCAGCTTGGGGAGTATCAGTCTGACTCTCTCCAAAGCATCCACGTTGCATTCATATCTTCCCCCTTTTCTAAGATAGCCAAATACACTTTGCCCCAATGCTTCCTGGTGATGGTGCGATAGGCTGGTGAAAGTTCAACCTGCATTACTGGGTCTGGCAGGGAGCACTCAGCAGCAGCACTGACCTTTTCTGCATCATTGGACCCTTTACAGAAGCTCATGAGAGCTGTGAACTCTCTTCCCCACAAAGCTGTATGTGTACACACAATTTCGCAGTTGGGGTGGGGGAGATGGACTGCAGGCTCATGTTTAAAACCCCCTGCCTTAGAAATCACTAGTCCAAAACCTCTTACAAACAAGTAAACCGAGGCCCAGAGAGGTTGAGTCATTGGGACTCAGCTATGAGTAGTGCTTTTTTTCTTCCACACCCTCAATGCCCTCTTTGATTCTTTTTATTATTTGTTCAAGGCTGAGCGACACCCCACCCTCCTGGCCAGCAACTCTGAGGGCTTGGTCCCCAGGGTCTGAGCCTAGGCTTGTTGCTTAAATCTCTGTGGTTTCCTCAACTTAAGCCAGGTACACTGAATGCTTCAGTGAGAGGCAGCACACAGGAGTAACCAACCCCGCCCTCTGCCCCTCCCGTCCCAAGGGACTCACAAACCCAGCCCTGGTTCCTTTCCACTCAAACACTCAATAACTTTATTTGCCTTTAGCTGGTTTCTCAGGAAGGAGGGGACCGCAAGGGCGGGATGAGGGCTGGCAGCAGCCTGGGCTTCATGCGCCCTCTGGTGGACCTCAGAGGCAAGGACAAGAATTGCAGCCAAACCCAAAGGACTTTCACGGTCTGGAGGCCAGTCAATAACAGTCTAGGGGAGGGCTGCAGTGCTCCTCAGGTCTGTACCCCGGACCCAGCTTCAGGAGACCGGGCATGATGGGAGGAGGCCCTGAACCTCTGGCTCTCATACTCGCCCATGTTGGATGCCCGCATGTTCTGCCGAGCCTTCATCTGCTTCAAACGGTTCTTGTCCACTTCACGCTTGGTGAGGAGGAAGAGAAGGATACCACAGGGGAAGCCGATGGCCCTAGGGGTGGGGAGATGTGCACGGGGTTTGGGGAGGGGCCACGCCTGAGCCAGAAGAGCTGCGGGGACTCTCATTCCAGCTTCATTGAGCTCAGGAACAGTGCAATACCTCTTGTGTTTATCAGCCTTCGCGCTGGCTGCTGGAGGGCCCCATGAAATTCAGATCCTGCCGCTGCCCTGCTTAAAACTCCGTAACAGCTCTCCATCACTTCCTGGACAAGTCCAAACTCCTAGGCATGGCACAAAAGGCCCAGTGTGGCTGGGTCTCTGCCCACCTCTTCATTCCTTTCACCTGGAGCCTGACTGACACCTTTCAACACGAGCCCTGCAATTCTGCTGCACAGCCTGTGCATGATTCTCCAGACAGCCCATCCTGTCCGTCTCCAAGTCTTGGCAAAGTTCCCTCCGCCTAAACTGCCCGGATCCCTCTCCCAGACTCCCCTTCTTAATCTGAGTAGCCGCTACTTAGGAGGCACCTTGGCGAGGGGGAAGGGCATGGAGTCACAAGACCTGGTAAGAATCCCAGCTCTGAGCCTCAGTTCTCTCATCTGTGAAATGGGGATGTAATATTTATCAGAAAAACTAAAACAGTACACTGTAAAGTCCTGGCACACTTAAGGTGCTGAGAAAAAAAAGGTTAATTTCCCCCTCCTTTCCCTTTAATATTGATCAATAACATGTATTAAAGTCAGAGTCGGATCCAAATAATGATATACTGAACACCTTTTAGGTGAGACCTCCATTGGGTCTCACACCAAGCTCCCAGGAGAGGATGAGGCCAGGGACCCAAATTCAAAATCAAATCAGCTCAGCTTACTCCACACAAAACCCACCGTCTCTCCAATTGCACATACTTTCCCACCTCCCCTGCCCCATTCCTCTGAGATTCCAGTCCTTGCACCCAGCAATTCTATCCCCACAACCTTGGATTCAGCTCACCACCTGAAACTTAGAGAAGTTTCTGGGTCCCGCCCTCCCCTGGTACCACTCCCCATCAGTGGGCAAAGGGTGACTTTAAAACTCACCAGGCTAGTCCCACAGCTTTCATGGGGTTCTTGCTCCTCTTTCTGGGAATGTATTCCAGTTCAGGAGATAGGGGCTCAGGCTCTTCCTTGCACTCTGGGGAGCTGTGGCTTTGCAGTGCCCGAGTTCTGTTCTGAGCTTTGTTCGCTGTGGCTCCAGAGAGAATCCCTGTGGATGGAGATAATGAAGGTCAGTAAGACAATGAGAAGAAAGCCTGGGGAGGAGTGGTTGAGATCTGAGGAAGGGAAGTGACTGCAGTTTGGCGTAACAAGTGCCAGGGAGAATTCAAAGGGAAATGTTTGGAAAATCGCCATTGAGGTGACACTTCTGGAAGCCACTTCCACGTCACTGTGGGCTCATTACCCTGGTGCCAGGAGAGCACGCCTCGCTGTTCTTCATCTCCTCGGAAGACAGGATGGGAAGGGCTGCAGTGGGACTCACATGAGACGTATGAAGGAAATGCGAGAAAATGTTTTCAAACGCAGAATGCTAGCAGGGGAAGGGAGCTTAAAGGTGGTCTACTCCATCCCCTCGTTTTATAGAAAAAGAAACTGAAGCCCGGAAAGACGAACTGCTTCGCCCAAGGTCAAACTGCTAGTTATCCGGGGCTAGAACCCAAGCCTCCAAAAGCTCAGGGCTCTTGCCTCTGCACTGCGGTGAGTGTGAAGCACCTGGAGCGCGGGAGTCTAAAAGGCTTTCTTGGGGCTCCCGCTCGCAGCAAAACCCCAGAGGTGTCGTGTAACCCGAAGGCAGAGGGATGGTCTGGGTGACCTCTAGAGACCATCTTTTAGTCCCCAGATTCTTTAAGATCTTGTAGAGAGGTGAGAGCAGGAATCGACAGCCCTAACCTTCTGCTATCGCCGGGCGGGATGTGAGAAAAAAGGGATCCCCTGCAGTGCTGCCCTCCCCCGGGGCCCCTCTCCTTACCCCTGAGGACGCGGGCATTCCTAGCCCCCCGGCCCTTCAGCGCCGTAGCAGCTACCACCGCCGCCATGTTCAGATCCCACCCCCCTTCACCGCGTTCCCCGTCGGGAATTGTAGTTTGCGTAAAGGGCCTCCCCCGCTCCTTCCGTCCCGCCTACAGATCAGAAACTACATCTTCCAGAAGCCCGCGGAGCGGACCGGGGAGAACTACTCTTCCCAGAAGATCCGGAGGTGCGCACGCTCGCTTGTTTCCCTCCTGTCGGGGGCGGAGTCAGGTCGGGCGGAGCTTGGGTTCTTCCCGCCACGCCTCGTCCCTGGCTCCCAACTCTGCCCTATGATTGGCGGTTGACCTAGCCAACCCTTTTTCCTACTGGCCGAGCGGCCGTCGCTCTTCCTGGCGGGGAGTCGCCTACGCCTACTTCCTTCCCGGGAGGAGGGGCTCGAGTTCCGCGTCGTCGCGCAGAGCTGACTCTGGGAGGCGTTTGGGCCCAGAGAAGTGGATCGGCCGCTTGCGCCGCATGGAGTCCGAATCGGAAAGCGGCGCCGCCGCTGACACCCCCCCACTGGAGACCCTAAGCTTCCATGGTGATGAAGAGATTATCGAGGTGGTAGAACTGGATCCCGGTCCGCCGGACCCGGGTGAGCATTGCTGATCCTCAGGCCATGGGACAGGAGTCGTTCACCCCTGGCCTCTGACCCCTGCTTCTCCCCCACCCCTGCACACCCCACCGGTCATTCCTACCGACCTCCTTCGCCCTTCCCCCTCCCCCTCCCGCACACTTAGTTCTCAGGCCTGGCGGGGGTGGGGGTTCCCCTGACGCCTCCTTTGGCCCTTCCCCTCACACACCCCCTTCCCATCATCCCCTCGGTCCTCTCTTAACACACAGCCTCTGGCCAAGCCCAGGTTCTCAGACCCCTCCTGTGCTCGGCCCTGCATGCCCCCGCTTCATCATATTTGCCTGACCTCACCTACCCTCATGTCACATGACCCACCCCAGCCCAAGCCCTCCCAACACTTGTCTCCATCTCTCTTACGCCTGCTGAGCCCCATCTTTTAACCCTCTCCCTAAAGCAGATGATCTAGCCCAAGAGATGGAAGATGTCGACTTTGAGGAAGAGGAAGAAGAGGAAGAGGGCAACGAGGAAGGCTGGGTTCTGGAGCCCCAAGAAGGGGTGGTCGGCAGCATGGAGGGTCCAGATGATAGTGAGGTCACTTTTGCGTTGCACTCAGGTAGGTCTCTGAGGAGATCCATTCTAGGCTCAGGCCCCGCGGGCGTTTGAGCATCGCACGTCCGCTGTGCACAGAGCATTAGGAGGGACTCAGAGATGGGAAAATGCTGGCCTTGCCCTGGAGGAGCTCACAGGTAGCGGCCAGTATGATGGAGTGGAGGAGAGCTTGGCTCCTGGAGTCAGTTGAGAAACCTGTGTTCAAAGCCTATCACTGCAACTTACCAATTTATGATTTTTATTAACTTCTCTGGATCTTAGTTTTCTTTTAAAACATTACCTTGGTGTGAATGAGATGTTACAGCACCTTTTTGAGATTTGATATAATCCTCAAATGGATTAGTAAGGAACCAGTAACATGATGCTCTCCTCTGCTTGTACCCAGCTTGGCATCCCATGCTGAGAGGTGTAACCCTGCACATGCACCCTTCTCTTGTCCACGACATTAGTGTGGGGTGGTGAAGGGGGCAGCACTGCAAGGGGGATCTGCCTCGGAGAAGGATTTGGAGCTTGGCAAGCTTGGGGAGGGACTTCTCCAACAACCTGATGCTTGAAACTTAGAAGAACTTGGATGCACCCTTCTTTCCCAGGAGGAAAGACTTTGGGTGCTTTAGGTGGAAGGGGTGGGCTTCCTGCAGGTCCCAAAGGACTGAACCCTAGGTGGGAGCCCCATCTCCTTATTCATGGAATATCTCTTGGGACAGCATCTGTGTTTTGTGTGAGCCTGGACCCCAAGACCAACACCTTGGCAGTGACAGGGGGTGAAGATGACAAAGCCTTTGTGTGGAGGCTCAGTGATGGAGAGCTGCTCTTTGAGTGTGCAGGTGAGGGGGCCCAGGTGAGGTCGTGTGCCTTTGGAGGTCTTAGGGGACTAGCCTGCAGCGGTTTTATATTCAACAGCCGTTTATTGATCCCCATTTTGCCAGCTCTGTCCTGGGCCTGAGGACCCCCCAAAAGAATAACATAGTCTATGATGGACATAGGGGAGTGAGGCACTAATTGGGCACGGGAGTCTGGGAAAGGCCTGAGAGGAGGCAACACAGGCTGGCATAGAGGTATTTGGGAAGAGAGGAAGATGTGGGTGTTCCAGGCAGAGGTGTGGAGTGGACAAAAGGGGAAGACATAGGCTGGGGCTATGTGCGGTTGAGTTGGGGGGCAGCACTGTCTCCCCTGGGAAGACCTAGGTGTGTTAGTTCCTGCAGCAGCAGTTTAGTCACCTGTTCAGCTAGGGCCTTTTCCCCCAGCTGGTCCTTTCAGAGCCCAGATACCTGGGTCATGTATTAGGTGCCCTAATGTATTTTTTCTTCTTGCTTTTCCTCGAAGGCCATAAGGACTCTGTGACTTGTGCTGGTTTCAGCCATGATTCTACCCTAGTGGCCACAGGGGACATGAGTGGCCTCTTGAAAGTATGGCAGGTAGACACCAAGGAGGAGGTCTGGTCCTTTGAAGCAGGAGATCTGGAGGTGAGATCTTCAGAGTGGGATGCCATTCTGGAGGGGCCTTGGGCCGGGTGTGAGAGCTTGGCGGTCTAATCCCACCTTTATCAGACCAAGCCAGCTCTGAGCCAGTGCGCTCTCAAGGCACAGCGCCAATATCTGTGCCTGTTACCTAGAACGTCCCCACTGATTCAAAGGCAAGGAAAGCTTGGTGGGGCTCATGAGGCAGGCTCCTCGGTGGGATGGGGTGGCGGGCCTCCCTGCTGACCCTTCCTCTCTGCCCAGTGGATGGAGTGGCACCCTCGGGCACCTGTACTGCTGGCGGGTACCGCTGATGGCAACACCTGGATGTGGAAGGTCCCGAATGGTGATTGCAAGACCTTCCAGGGCCCCAACTGCCCGGCCACTTGTGGCCGAGTCCTCCCTGATGGTGAGAGCAGCTCCCCGTGCGCATCCCTGAGCGTCCTTTCCTGAGCGCAGAGAGGCTGCACGCAGGGTTTTGTGCCTCTTAGCACCTGGGCCACCGCCGGCAATGTCTGAGCCTGCTCTCAGGAGCACTGACCTCCTAGGTCCCAGAGCAGATGGCTCCCCCTTTCCCACCCTCAGCTGGTCTCTTCCGCTGGTCCTTGGGGCAGTGTCCCCTCACTTTCTGTCTCCCTCCCTGGCCCTCTCCATTCCCTTGCCGGGTATGTCTGAGTGTGCTGTCTGTCCTCACTTCGTCACTGCGCCTGGCCCTTTAGGGAAGAGAGCTGTGGTCGGCTATGAAGATGGCACCATCAGGATTTGGGACCTGAAGCAGGGAAACCCTATCCATGTACTAAAAGGTAACAAAGGTGGGGGAAGCGTTACCCTGGGCCTTTGAGAGGAAGGGGCTGAGATCTGGGGCAGCGTTCAGAGGGGACAAGGTGAAGTCTGACTTATCCCCCTACTCTACCCTAGGGACTGAGGGTCACCAGGGCCCTCTGACCTGTGTTGCCACCAACCAGGATGGCAGCCTGGTCCTAACTGGCTCCGTGGATTGCCAGGCCAAGCTGGTCAGTGCCACTACTGGCAAGGTGAGTGAGGCCTGGAGCTTAGCTGTGGAGCCCGCTGCTTTCTGCCTCCTCCTCTTCCCTTCCTGTCGTATTCTTCACTCGACCTCCCTGCCCCCCTGCCTTCTTTCTGTGTTAGAGGACCGAGTTTCCAGGCCCTTCTCTGATCCTTTCCTCTGGCTCGTAGGTGGTGGGTGTGTTCAGGCCTGAGACTGTGGCCTCCCAGCCCAGCCTGGGAGAAGGGGAGGAGAGCGAGTCTAACTCAGTGGAGTCCTTGGGCTTCTGCAGCGTGTGAGTGGGAGCCTCAGCCTGGAGATAAGAGGGCCTGGGGGTGAAGGGAGTTTGGGGAGGGGCCTGGGCTTGGGGGACCAGGAGGGAGTGGAGGGCATGGAAGCCCAGGTCCCTGTGTGATCTTCCTGGTGCTCTTTTCTACCCAGGATGCCTCTGGCAGCTGTCGGCTACCTGGATGGGACTTTGGCCATCTATGACCTGTCTACACAGACCCTCAGGCACCAGTGTCAGCACCAGGTACAGGCAGCCTCAAGCCACAGCCACGGCCATGGCCGTGGGGAAGCCCAGACCTCTGGGAGCATCTGCCCTGTTCCTTCTCCACGGCCCATCCTCCCCTCCCTTCCTCCGTGAGTTGGGCGATGCCTCAGCTCTCCCGCCCCTGACCTCCATCCTGCCTCTGTTGCATCCTGGTGCAGTCTGGCATTGTGCAGCTGCTGTGGGAGGCTGGCACCGCCGTGGTTTACACTTGCAGCCTGGATGGCATCGTGCGCCTCTGGGACGCTCGGACTGGCCGCCTGCTGACTGACTACAGGGGCCACACAGCCGAGATCTTGGACTTTGCCCTCAGCAAGTAAGTGAATCGGGCAAGGGCTGGGGTCTGTGTTTGGAGGGTGGGAATAGCACGTAGCGGGACACAGGGCCCTGGGTTATGGGTGGGGATTCCTGAGGGAGGCTGCGACCCAAGTCGCAGCCTGTGAGGCAGGAGTGCTGGGCAGCCTGAGGGAGTGTGGCTTCCGGCTGACGATGACCTACCCTCTCATCCCCCTGCTGGTGGCTGGCTTCTAGTGCGTTTACTTGACGTCGGTGTGTCATGTGTCAGCCTAGTGCCAGGCGCTAGGGGTCTAGAATTGATGTGCTGGAGGCCACCCGGGGGCCCTGGGTGGTGGGCTTGGCGCGGGCCCCACGTCCCCCATTTCCTTTGACCTGTGCTTCCTGTCCATAGAGATGCCTCCCTGGTGGTGACCACATCAGGAGACCACAAAGCGAAAGTATTTTGTGTCCAGAGACCTGACCGCTAGTAGCTGCAGCCTCTGCTTTGTGTCTGGTGTTGAAGGGATGAAGGGAGACCCCTCACTAGCAGAGGCAGGAGGGGGAGGGTACAAAAGGAGGGGAGGGGCCTCGGGCTACTTTCCAACCCCTTTACACTGACTTGTCCCCTCTGTCCCTTTCTTCTCTGGAGACCCCCCTCCCCCCTCCCCCTCCCCCAGACCCGGCTGATCCCTCAGGGGGAGGCTCACCTCTCTCTTTCACTTTCCTTTGCTGGTGTGAGTCATGGGGTGCGAATTTGTATGTGGGGAGTAGGTCTGAGGTGCCCGTTCTTTCCCTTCCCAAGTCTCTGGGGGTGGAAAGGAGGAAGAGAGATTAGTTACAGATTTTAAAAATGTAAATAAAATATACTTCCCAGAGACAGTGTCTGTGTGGATTTTGTGGTTGCTGGACCTGAGGAAGAAGCAGTGAGGGGCATGTCAGGGTGAACCCCCCCCCCCCCCAGATCTGCTGGATTCCAGCACTCAGCTCACCTCTCACCTGCAATGACTGGCCTGTCCACACTTGGAATCTCCCTTGATGCCCATCTGGCTTTAGGTTGTTTCCACAGCTGTTCACCTGCCTCTCCCTTTCTGCGATATGGAACGAGATTACCAATAAACTGGGCCAAAAGAGCTTTATTCGGCTGGGGCCGGGGGGGCGCGGGGGGGTGTGTGTGTCTTTGATCCAGAGGTGTGGGGACAAGTGGAGATGGGCTTGTTGGCCAAGATGGTTGGACGCTTCTGGTAGGAGTGAGCAGAGGTCTTTCCCCTAGTTCAAGTCCAGGTCCACGCTGCTTTGGCTGCTGGTGCAGTAGGCAGTGCTGGGGCCAGGACTGCCCCCGGAGGCTCTTAGCCGCAGCATCTGTAGCCACCGTCGGGCAGCCACCCTCCAGGGAGCTGTGTAGCGCTGATCACCCAGCCCCATGGCCACAGGCACGGCTGCCGCACTGGCACTGCCCAATGAGATGAGGGACAACAGAGTTCCAGGCCCCAGTGGTGGGCGCTGCTCATAGGCCAGGACCGAGAGGAACAGGGTGGCCACGTAGGGCCCCCAGCACAGCCCAAAGAGCAGCGTGGCTCCGGCCTGTGCCCTTGCCTGCCTCCAGGTCAGGGTCCGGGCCAGGGCCGAGGGTGCCCCGCGGCACACTGCGCGCTCCAGCCGGCGGATGTCCTGCAGCTGGCGGTGGGCGGTGGCCAGCACGCGGGCGCAGAGAAGAGCCGCAGCGCCCACGGCAGGCAGCAGCAGCCCGTAGACTTCGAGGTAGAGGTAGGGGGCTGGAAAGACAGCCTGGGAACTGCAGTTGGCACCAGGGGCCCAGTGGTTCCACCCCAGGGCGGGCAGGCTGGCAAAGAGCAGGGGGCCAGCCCAGGTGAGGAGCAGGGCCAGCCGAGTGCTCCCACGGGTCCGGAGAGGCCGCAGCACGGCCATGTAGCGCTCCACGTGCACCAGCAACAGGTTGGCGAGCAGGGAGAGGAAGGAGAAGTTGGGAGCCAAGTAGAGAAAGAGACAGGACCAGTAGCCTCGGTGGCTCTGGCTCCAGAGTCCTGGCAGCGCAGGCAGGGCCAGCCCTGTGAGCAGCCCCGCCAGCAGCAGGCTCAGGAAGAAGCAGCCAGCAGGCGGGCTGCGCAGGCGGCGGTCCCCGGCGATGCCCAGGGCCAGGAGCAGGTTGGCCGTGACGATGAGGCTTGCCAGGACCAGGGAGAGCCCTAAGGCCCCCACGGGAACGGCACCGGGCACCTCCCTGGTGCTGTTGGGTGTCATCTTGGGTCTGGGGACAGGGGAGGCCTGAAGCAACGGCCGGCATGCCTGGATGGAAGACGGGGTGACCAGTTAGGATGGGGCTGCAGGTCACTGTCGTCTTGGTGGGGGCTGCACATTAATCTAGAGCAGCAGTTCTCAACCTGTGGGTCGCGACCGCTTTGGGGGGTCGAACAACACTTTCACAGGGGTCGCCTAAGACCATC